AAAAAAAGAGAGAGAGAGAGAGAGAGAGAGAGAGAGAGAGAGAGAGAGACTCAGTAACATTTGTTGAGAAATATATGCAGAGTGGCCACTTGAGGCCCCCCTGTGTCACTGAATACATGACAACGGATGACACTTCGTGGAGTAGAATGGAGGTGCCACTCGCCTTCTCCCCTTTCCGCCACACGCTCCCGTTTTCCTTCAAAAATATCTAACCCTGTGTGGGCAGTGCCTCTCCCTGGACAGTGTAGCTGACCCTTGGAACTAACTCAAATGTGGGTGGGACATTCCACGGTCAGAGCTTCTAGGATAAACAAGAGGAAACAGCAGTGCCAAGTGAGATGGCTCAGCTACTGGAGTACCTTGTCGCCAAGCCTAGCAACCTGAGTCTGATCTCCAGGACTCACATAGTACAAGGAAGAGACCCAACTCCCGCACACTGCCTTCTGTCTTCTTCAAGTCCATGCATGCACACACACACACACACACACACACACACACACACACACACACACAAACATGCACACAAACAGACATGCATGCACACGCACACACATGCGCACACACAATACACACACACACAAATAGACATGCATACACACCCACACACACGACAGTGAGCTGAGCACCAGTATTCATGCCTCGCTGCTTCCTGACTGTGGACACGGGCAATCAGCTGCCTCACATGCCTGCTACCACCACGTCTCCACCATGGCTCACTGTATCATCAAGGAGCTGAAATACAGTCTTACTGTCAGGTGTTCTACCAAATCAATGAGGAAAGTAAAGAACACACCACCCAAATGCTGGGGATGAGTCCTTCAGAGATGGGTGTCTCATCACAGACTCCTCCAGGGTGGGGACATTGTGGCTGACAGAATGGCTGACTATCAGGAAGCAGAGGCAGCTGGCATTAATCAGCTCAGATGGCCAAGGCTGGACCATTCACAGTTTAGAGTTCAGACCTGGCTCAGCTCACTTTACTCTTCCAGGGACTCTGGTTTTTCTAGCATCTGGGGAACTGAACAAGCAGGTTGTAGGGGAGGACCTACGGGAAGGAAGCAGCTGCTCCCCCTGCCCCCCTCCACCCCCCTGCGCAACACCTCCACCTCTTCCCAGCCTGCTGGCTGGGTGGGGGCTAATAGATGCAGGCAGAGATGGATAATGGATAATGAGGCCAATTGGGAAGGATCTATGTGGGAGTTTCTAGGAAACCGTGGGAGCAGGTGGTCTTTCCTTCCTCTGTAAGGCCCTGGAACCATGTTAACTGTTGCTATAGGTGTGGGGAGAAGATGTATAACGAGTTCTCCGATTCTTCAGCATCTTTCAAGCCAGCAAATGTCAATTTCAGCACAAGCCCAGGGGCCTTTTGTTGTGAAGGAAATAACCACCCATGTTGTGGGAAAGCCATGCTGGCAGACAGGGCACATGGTAGACAGAGACCACTCCTCAACAAAACACTCTTTGGTTAAAGAAAAAAAAATCATCCAATATAAAAGAAAAGTGTTTAGGCTTAAAAACTAAAAAAAAAAAAAAAAAAAAAAAAAAAAAAAAAAAAAAAAAATTAAAAAACGAACTGTCCCAGAGAACTGAGAAAAGGCAAAAATATTCACACACGGGAACACAGCGAGCCTCAGAGCTGTAAATATTTTCTGAGTTTCCCACATGTGGCCAGCAAGAGCAGTAGCAGTCTTGTCTCCTGTCTCTCTCCCTGTTTGAAATCTGCTCTGAAAAAAACAAATGACAAGAAAAACAAAACAACAAACAAACAAAAAACTTGTTTGTTAAGGAAACTACCAGAGGCTGGGAAATATTTTGTTTCAAATATCAGAGAGAAAGGAAATCAAGCCTTAGAACTGGGCCGGGATGGGGGTGTGGGGAGGTAAGAAACAGAAAAAGGAGACATCAACTCCCAGGCACAATGGAGCCACGGGTGCTCGGGAAGATAGTTTACCCGGGGACGTTGTGAACATTACCGTCTTGCCACCCTGCTGGTGGGAGGGTGGCTGAGGTTCCTAGGTTCCTTTCCGTCATTGTGACGAATACTCTGACCAAAAGCAACACAGAGGAGGCAAGGGTTTATTTCAGCTTACACTTCTGGATCACAGTTTATCATGGAGGGAAGTCAGGGCAGGAACTCAGGGCACACTGCAGGAATCCGCTCCTACCAAGGAGCTCAGGTCACAGTCAAGGGAACACAGCAGGCAGGGCACTCTAGCTGGCTTTGTCTGGCTTATGCTTAGCTGGCTTTCTAAAGCCCAGGACTACCTTTCTAGTGATTGGTGCTGCCCAGAGTAGGCTGTGCCCTCCTACACCAGTTAACAATCAAGAACATCCCCCCAGACATGTCCACGGGATGATTTGATCTAGCCCAGTGGTGCTCAACCTTCCCAATGCTGCAACCTTTAATACAGGTTCTCATGCCGTGGGGACCCCCAGGCATAAAATTATTTTGTTGCTACTTTATAACTGTAATTTTGCTACTGTTATGAATTGCAATGTAAATATCTGTACTTTCCAATGGCCTTGGGCAACCCTGTGAAAGGGTCATTCAACCCCCAAAGGGGTCGTGACCATAGGTTGAGAACCACTGATCTACCCACTTATTCCTCTCCATTGGTTCCTAACATTAAACCTAATCAAGATAGAGAGTGGCAGGAATCCCAGGAACTCACTAGTGGGGGTTGATAGATGTGCCTGACCCTACAGCAAGCTCCCTGGGTGATTCTGTCCAGGGCCATCAAGTCCCAGGCCTCCTTCCACAGCCAGCACTGAAGGGTATCCGTCTTTGCCGGCTTCGGCTGCCAGGGTTGCCTGAGATTGGAACCCTAAATATGGAGGCATCACCCCACAGCTGGAGGTCTGGGCTGAATAAAAAGAGGAAGCAAACTAAGCACCAGAGTCCATCTCTGCTTCCTGACTGTGGATGTCATGTGACCAGCTGCCCCACTCTCTTGTCAGCATGTCTTTCCTGCCACGATGGCCTGTAAATCAAAATAAACCTTCCCCTGCTAGGATTTGTCACGGTGGTGGGGAAAACAGTCACCCTACTGTCTTCCTTTCAGGGATTCAGGGCCAGGAGCTGGGCCCACATAGAACCCCCAAGCCTGTCCCTGTGGCCACAGTGTTCTGCCTGTTTCTAGTACTGGGTGTTCCTAGGGTGCCCTGTGCACCAGTCTTTGGCCTGCACCCCACCCTCTGCAGAAAATGCTTTGACCCCTATGCATGGGATCCTCTGGCAGCAGATGCACCCAAAGGTCCGTTCCTCAGAGACTGCTGCCTGAGCAGCCTTCCAGGGCGAGGGGAGTAGGCATCGGTGGGTGTGGGCATGCAGGTCCACGTTTATGTGGGTGCACGTGTATGCAGAGATCAGAGGTCAACCTCAACCTCCGAGGTCATTCTGCAGGCACTGTCCACGTTGTGCTTTGAGATTTCCAGTTTAGCTATCTGGGGACTCACCCGTCTCCACCTCCCCAACAATGCCATTACAGGAGTGTGCCACCATGACCAGCATTTTATGTGGGTTCTGGGAATTGAACTCAGGTCCTCATGTTAGTGTGCAAAGCACCTTGATGACTGAGGAGTCTCCCTGCTCCTGTGGCTACCCTTCTAGAAGCCACCCTCCCTCCCACCCTCCCTCCCTCTGCTAGCATTGTACCTGCTATGGCTTTTTCCATCATTCATAACCATCTTCATGACCTCCAGGTGTTTGTCTCCTGTGTCCTTACCTGTCTGCTCCTTGTAATGTCTCCCTTCTGCACCCTCAGCAATCAAGCCCCATTGAGCACAGCCGAGCCCTTAGCAGATGCTTGGCCCCCAGGAGGGGGTGGGCAGCCCCCACATCAGGCCCAGCACAGCAGCCAGCAGCTTTGCTTACTTTTAATTTCACAGATGTCTAGAAGCTTCCCAAAGCAGGGGCAGGGTTTGCCCAAATGCACAATGGGTCTTTCCTCCTAGTCACCCACTCCATCCCTTTCACAAAGCTTCCCCACACATAGGAACAGTGACCTGGGAGAAGGGGCCAGGAAGGAGACCCCAGCCCTCCTGAGGACCTACTCACTCAGGAGCAAGGACATCGGGGAGAGTCTGTTATCTCAGCATGAAGGCAGGTCGAGCCATTGGCGGACCAACCATAGTTGAGCATGGGGTGGAATCCACAGCTAGAAAAGCACACGTGACGACTCTCAAGGCAACATCAACCACTCCCCACAAACTTCAGCAGACAAGAGAAGCCTGGCTAGACAAGTCAGCCTAGCGAGATCCTGTGGAGTCCTAGCCAAGCTCTGCAGGGAGGGAGGGGAGGACAGAGTGGCATCGGCAATGGCTGGAGGTGACTGGCAGTGCTGGTCCATGATGCCCAGGATCCCGGCACGATTGTGTTCTCTCTAAGAGACATCACCAAGCTCTGTGTTCTTGGGATCGTGCCCCTGGATGGACTTCTAACCTCCGTGTTTGACATTTACGTTTTGAAAAGGGCCAGGGGAGAGAACTGGTGGTACAAGCCAGGCCATCCTGACTACTCAAGGAGCTCACGGGTTTGCCTTGCTTGGGAGATCCTGTCTCGAAATTTTAAACAGGAAGGAGAAGAGGAAGAAGAAGAGGAGGGAGAAGAGGAGGAAGAAGAAGAGGAGGAGGAGGAGGAGGAAGAGAGGAGGAGGAGGAGGAGGAGGAGGAGGAGGAGGAGGGGGAGGAGGAAGACTGCTGACCAGGGATGTAGTGGTGGAGCTTGCGCCGTGCCCTGGGAGCAATTTCCAGTATCGAAAGAGTGGGGATGTCGGTGTTAGGGCTAGAGGTCTCTCAGAGGGGCACTGACAAGGTGATGGCTGGGTGCTCAGAGGGCAGAGGCTAACAGCAAGCTCCGGGGACCCTCCTCCCCTGCAGGTGTCCCTCCGCCTCCACCTAAGCGTCATCTGTTACCTGGCAACCCAACCGGTCTCCAGTGACAAAGGAGGCAGAGTCTAGGGCCAGAGGGCAGTTTGCGGTTTGTGGGGACCCCCAGAGCCATGACTCAGAAGCCGCTCAGCACCACCGCCGCAGAGCGCATGAACCTTGTGGCCCAGGACGAGATCTGGTAAGGCCGGCTGGGCTGTGCCCTTCTCACCTGCCACGTGCGCACCTTGGCGGCCTCGGTTTCCCCACCAGGACCAGAAGACAGTCCGCTGGGCACAACAGGAGTGCTCTTAGAATAATCGGGAACCTGGAGGAGAGGGGGCAATGTTAGGGACACAGGGACCTCGGTCTGGTCGCCCCTCCCTCCTGCCCACCGCGGAGACTGGAAGGATTCCTATAAGGAATTTAAAAAGAAGAAACAAAATTGAAACGCTAATAATTGACAACATCGGCCTTTCTTGGTTTTCCTAGATTCTTTTAAACGAGAACAAATTTAGAAATTTTAATTTTTAAAAGACCCAGGGCTGGGTGTGGTGTCACAAGCCTTTAACCCCAGTACTGGAAATGAAGAGACTGGAGGATCTCTGTGAGTTAAGGCCAGCCTGGTCTACACAGTGAGAACTTGTCTCCAAAAGCAACAGAAATCTATTCTCTAAAAGATTTGTGTCCAGTAGACTTTTGTAATGGATATTTTTGAATGCCAAGTGGTATTGGACTATTTAACATTTTAACCACAATAGGAAGGCTCTGATTTAGACCTTAGATGCAAGTCCCCCTTCTCTCTCTCCTTCAGCACTCACAATGACTCTGGGACCTCAGTGCTGACCAAGTGCTCTGCCACTGAACTACAGCCCCAGCTTTCTTTTCCTTATTTTGAATTTTGAGTTGCCCAGGCTGGTCTAAATGCTCTCCTCCACAGCTCAGGCAGGCCTTGAATTCACCATCCTCCTGCAGCAGCCACCTTAGTATCTGGGATGACAGATTTCTGGCTGACTTTGCAAACTCCCTATTAACCACCTCTGTGACTTTTGTCACCTCCTTTAACACCTGTGGGGACAACTGACGATGGAGACTGGTGAAGAACCTGCTTCATATTGGAACTGTCAAGTTGTTTGTTTTATAGGAAACAGTAAAATTCCCCCAAGTGGAAAACAGTGTCATTTCCCAGGAACCAAGCAATCCCAGTGTTTTAAAAGTGTTTATTACCACCCGTTAACCCCCAAGAGGAAGCATTATCCTTTCCCCCACTCCACTAGACAAACTCCTAGATATACTTCAAGACCCAGACCAAAAGGCCCCTCCCCTACTGAGTCCCCAGACCTGCTTTCCAGTATCTGACATGGCTCAAAAGGACACAGCCAAACATGAAGTTAACTAGAAATGGAAAATTAACAAATTTCAAACATTCACCCCAAAAAGTGTCATGAAAATTCATGACAGTTATTTATTTTTACTTCCTTTTTGATGTGAACATGGGAAATTACAGCCATGTTTGTGGCCCCTGTTTGGGGCTCATGTCGGCTACATCTTTATGAGAAATAGACTCTGGGACGTGAGCGACAGCAGCAGGTGGGAGTGATCACAGTGAATGCATGATGGCCCGAGCTCAGATCCTAGAATGCTGTGAACTGTCCTCTGACGTCCACACTCATGCACGCACTCAAACACTAAATCTACAAAAGCATGCACACACTGAAACACTAAATGTACACACATGCACGCATTCAAGCACTAAATGTACAAAATCATGCACACACTCAAACACTAAATGTACATACACATGCATAAAAACAGACAAACTCTGGGCCTGGGAGAGGGCTCAGCCTGGAAAGTGTTTGCCCACCAGGATGAAAACCCAAGTTTGACCTCCAGAGCCCATGTAAAAAGCCAGGTGTGTGGTGAACACTTACAATTCCACAGTGTGGGAGGCAGAGACAGGACTGTCCCTGGAACTTTCTGGTCAGCCAGTGTAGCCTGAGCCCCAGATCCTACTGAGCGATCCCATCTCCAAGACAAGGTAGAGGGCTCCTGAAGAATGGCAATTGTGCTGGCTAGTTTCACGTCAGCTTGACACAAGCTAGAGTCATTGGAGAGGAGGAGGCCTCAGTTGACAAAATGCCCAATAAGATCAGGCTATAGGCAGGCCTATAGAGCATTTTCTTAATTAGTGGTTGATGGGGTGGGCCCAGCCCATGGTGGGTGGGGCCATCCCTGGACTGGCGGTCCTGGGTTCTGTAAGAAAGTAGGCTGAGCAAGCTGTGAGGAGCAGCACCCTCCACGGCCTCTGCTTCAGTTCCTGCCTCTAGGTTCCTGTCCTGACGTCCTGACTTCCTTTGATGATGAACAGAGACATTGAAGTGTAAGCCAAATAAACCCTTTCTTCCCCAACTTGCTTTTTGTCATGGTATTTCATCACAGCAACAGAAACCCCGAAGACAACACCCAAGGTTGACCTCTGACCTTCACACACACTTGCACACCTACACACACACACACACACACACACACACACACACACACACACACACACGAGGGATGTAGATTCTGATTCCCAGACAGAAGGAACTTGGAGGATCAAGTTGAACTTCATGTTTCCAGGACCTGACACATCACCTCACCAACGTCCCTCAGCACAGCTCACTTGTAGGTGCCTAGAAACTATGTTTAATGTGGAATGGACAGGAGTGGGGCTGGATTGGGCAGAGGTGGGGCACCTGGGGACAACATTTAACAACATCTAGATGTCAAGGCCACACTTGCTGAGTCCGTCCTTGCAGGAACCCAGGGCTAAGTGTCTTTTCAAACTCCCTACCCCATGCCATGGCCATTTCTGCCACTTGCTGCTCTCCCTCTAAGGGTAGGTAGGGCCTCCAGAACAAGAAGGCTCGTATTCCCAGCCCCTTCTCCTTCTAGCAGTCAGCCCCAGGCCCTCCTGGTCCCCACCACAACAGTGTGCCATCTCTTCCCACCTCCTACCAGGGCCTCCCCATAAGTTAAGGGAGGCTCGGTCAAGGGCACTGAACCCTCTCCTGCTCCAGCCCCATTCACATCCCTGGGAGACCTGCTTGCCACTCAGTGTGTGCGACAGAAAGGCAAGCAGTTCTTCATCCTTAGAATGTCTTTTTCTCAGGAAATACCGTCTGAAGGCTGAATATGAAGCCCAGGAAAACTGGCCGACAAAGTGGGGGTTCTTAATAACCTCCATGGAGAAGGTAATTGAAAGGTTCATCAAGGGCTCTTTCCCCATCCCTGTCTCCAGGCCGGACCCAGTCCTGTCAGGAAATAAATGCTTCCATCTGATAATCAGCAGGAACGAATTGAGAGAGAGAGTCTGAGGAGATGACTGTGATGAGAGCCACGCAACAGGCACCTGATGTCCTCTTTCAGCTTTCACATGTGAAGGCACAGGTACACACACGGCCTCCATGTGTAATTTATTTGGGAGCTGGGTGGTGGGCCCCTCAAAAAGCCGAAAAACTAAAAAAGACACACACACACACACACACACACACACACACACAAACAAACAAATTAATTAGCTTTCTTCTGCTCCCTCAAATTCAGAGGTTCCTTCCTTTGAGGAGTTGCAGAGCTCTCTCAAGGTGCAAGGTGCATGCCAGGCACTTCCTCTAAACCAGCTCTGCAGTTTGCACAGCAGTCAGGTGCATGGGGCCGCCACTGCATGCCCAGTTTTAATAAAAAGACCAGTGAGTTCCAAGGGGGACGGCCAGGCACAAGACTGGCAAAGGGGGTACAAAGATGAGGAGCCAGCTGGCCTCAGCCTCACCTGGAGGCCACCTGACCACCTCCGTTCTGTGAAGTGAGGAGTTGGCTCTCACCTGACCTAGAGTGTAGGCAGGAAAGGTGTGTGGACCCCTCCTCAGGCCTGGAGACAAGGGGGCCCAACGGAGATCGTGGCTTCCCTGGAAAGTGTTCCCCCAAGCGTGGGTCAAACACTTAGGCTGGGTCTAGACAGATGACAGATGAGAGGGGACAAGAATCACAAACAGGGAGTTGTGGTGAGAGTGGCAGAGAAACTGCTGATAGCAGAGGTGGCCGTCATAAGCTGAGGGGAGTCCCAGCGTCCCCACAAACCTGCTTCTAAAGGAGTGGGTCCTGTTTAGTTATAAAAAGAAAAGGAAAAGGAAAACAAACACTATGTAGACACTCATAATGCTCACTTGCCTCCTGGGGGTGGCCTGTCTGTGTCAGCCCCAGGCAGGTCCTTTTCCTCTGCCAGGACAGAGAGACACAAGAGCCTCTAACTCACGGCATCGGAAGCCCCGCCCGCAGCCCACCCACCGCACAGCTTTGAAATTATGCCATTTGTAATGACGTTTTTAAAATTCTTAGACAGTTATACAGTTTGAAATTCGATGCATAAAGTAGGGGCCTTAATAATGTACTATTCGAGAGTGATTCGATATTAATATTCCTCGTGTGTAATTAAATTGGGTTTCCAGGGAGTTTTAAATGGCTTTAAAATCTCCCAGGGTGTGGGCCATTCATTTCTGGTTAGAAAGCTTGGTCTTGGAAGCAGTGCAGACAGTTTTTAGTTTGAGTTCATGACCAAGGATGTCTTCTCTGGTCCCATGATGGGGGTATTAATTCCTGGCTGAAAGACTAGTAGAAGGGCCTCAGCAAGCACTACTCAGGACTAACTCAGCAGCTTAGACTCCTCTTCTCCAGCTCCTGCTCGTGCTGGGACCAGTGCACCATGTT